TATTATTGTTGTTGTTTGTGTTGTTGTTGTTGTTGTTCCTGTTGTTGTTGCTGTTGTTGTTATTATTATCATTACGGTGTTTGTTGTCGTTATTATTAATGTTATTGTCATTCTGATAATTCTCCCATGTCTCACAGATCGGGTGTCGGGCCAGGAGAAGAAGCTCGTGTGTTACTTCCCCAACTGGACCCAGTACCGGCCGGCTCCCGGCACGTTCAAGGTCAAGGACATTGACCCCTTCCTGTGCACTCACCTGGTCTTCGCCTTCTCCAAGGTCGTCAACAACTTCCTGCGGGGTTACGAGTACAACGACGACACCTCGTGAGTTCTCAACAACTACTCACTCAGCTCTCTATACAGTACTTTTTAGTTAAAAGGAAGGGGGCGGGGGGCTACACCCTCAATATTCCGATTAGGCTAAAAATTATGGAATTTGAGTTGTAGGCACCTTCAGCTTCCTCAGCCTCTCCTACAATTATTTCATCGCCTGAAAACTCCCTACAGCCTTATTTCTTCCCATACTGGGCATGTTTGTTACCACCATTTCCTCATAAAGTCAATATTGATATTTAAATTTGTTTTTATAGGCTGTTTTCTCAAAACGCGATTTTTCTCTATATCTATACTTTTTTAAAATAACTCCGTCATTTTTTAAAACCCAATCTTGAAGAAATTTTCACAAAATGAAGAGGAGATGTAATACTAAAAATGTGAATTTGTGAAATATCGAATAGATGTTGTTGCTGGTGTCTGAGGTCTGGATTTTCACGGGTGTTTTGCAAACTTGAATATATTACCTCATCTAAAAAAATCATTAAAAATTGTCTAATTCGTTTAGGAAAAAATCAACGAACACATTTTTACATCTAAAGTTTACTAACATGCATGCAAAAACCCCCAATCAATTTCCATGGGAAAAAAATGCGGTAGGCTATTCATTACGTAAGACATGTCTACAAAATCCACCATAGCCATTGAAACGAAACTTTTTCATCAAGTTTGATTGCGGATTTTACGACGCCTTACTGTGCTTGTAATATTTGTGAAATGTGGTAAAATTTGGTATACTAATAAGCGAAATAGCCTTAAGGTTTGCCCCCCCCCCCCCCACCTAACACCCACACACACTTTGCGGTCGCTTGGCGTAATTATGTGCGGTGAAAATTCTCCGTTCCTATCAAATTCCGAGAAGTCTGTTGCAGTCACCCTCCTGGCTGGGTGACCAGATGGGGTATTTTGTACTGCTGGCTGTGTGACCAGATGGGGTATTTTGTACTGCTGGCTGTGTGACCAGATGGGGTATTTTGTACTGCTGGCTGTGTGACCAGATGGGGTATTTTGTACTGCTGGCTGGTGACCAGATGGGGTATTTTGTACTGCTGGCTGGTGACCAGATGCGGTATTTTGTACTACTGGCTGTGTGACTGCAAAGTGTTCTTAAAGAGGTTATAGGGGGCTCTCGTGGTCTGGAGGATCCGGTATTTGCCTCTCCTTATTCAACAGGCCCCAGGTTCGAATCTGGACAGCGACAGAAAATTTTCTACTCTAAAATGTTCACGTTTCACATCCTTTACTGCTCTCTAACAAGGTTCTGTCGTCTGCTTTCGTCTCCACTTTTTGCCCTCACCCACTCACCTCCTTTGCCCCTCCTCTGGGCTCCGGACTCTTTCTGCAGCCTTTCTACTGTTACTCCTTGGTTCCTTCTTACTGCTGTCTTTCAGCCACACCCCCCGGATGTTATGGTAGGAAAGATCTACACCTAGCCTTCTCGAAGAAGGGTGAAAAAATATCGGAGATCCTGTGTGCAAGTTGCGCACATTAAAGATCCATTGGTGGTCCAAAATCGATAAGAGTAGGCTTCGGCCGCCACCCAGGCAAAATTGAAAATGTCCTAAGGAAACCCTGATCAATGCTTCTTTCAGGGCCATTCAGAGTCAGAACTTATTTGAAGGAGCGCTTTATAAATCAATCATCATCATCATCATCATCATCATTTTTACTTTTAGTAGTAGTAATCATCATCATCATTATCATCATCATCATCATCATCATTTTTATTATTTTTAGTAGTAATCATCATCATCATTATCATCATCATTATCATCATCATCATCATCATCATTTTTATTATTATTAGTAGTAATTATTATAGCCACTATCATCATCGTCATCATTGTCATCATCATCATCATCATCATCATCATCATCATCATCATCATCATCATCATATTATCATTAAAATTATTTTTGTAGTTAT